TTCTTTGGGATATGGCTGCAGCGGGGCTTAAGCTTAAGTTGTGGTCGGGGCCAGCCAAACCCAGCAGGGCAAGGCCGGGGCCACCCCACCTGCACCTGGGGCCACGTTGGTCAGGGCCGGTGCCAGAAAGAGAGCGAGGCATGCCCTGCACCCCCCTTAAATACATGAATTCGCAGGGGCGCTGATTGGCTTGGCCCTGGTCAGAGGTGGGTCTGACAAAGGAAAACGGGGAGCTTTTCTGGTAGCTTCTTAGAGGGCCATCTCCATAGCCCTTCCCCCGTTACCAAAGACACAACTAAAAACCCCTCACAGAGAACCCAATACACTTAGTTAATGGTAAATTGGTAAAGGCTACATTATCCACCAAACTCTTATCTAATTTTTTATGTAGACTTTGTAATTAGAGTAGATGTTGAAATAAGAACCATTTTGTGGAGGTGGCATCACTGGTCCAAGAAATAAAACACTGCATATAATTTTTTTGGCAATAAATGATGGTTCAGATTTAGTGGCAATGTGCTTTTACCCAAAAGAAACAAATGCTGCTGACAGCTGTCTCAAGTGAAATAACTACAGCATTTCTTCCTTATGCTTGCTGCTTTGTATTGTGCGCTTGTAAAAGGTGACTGCTTACTAGATACTTCTTTGATACCCCTCCGGAGTCTTGAGGTTAAGTTCTGGAAGGCCAAGATGCAAGATTTGGCCTTCTCTTTATATCAGTTTTTTAGTCATTAAGAACAAATTCTGATATTTTATCAATTTATAAAGGGAGACAACGTAGAGGTCTGGTATGTGGTGGCATACTTCCTCACAACCTTTACTGGCAGCACAGGTAAGACTGTTGAACTGAGCAGAGTGTATTTTTCTGGACTCTGGACCTCATCATTAAATTGCACCCAGATTTTTGGAAACATTGCCATGGAGGAAGAAAGACTTGGAGATGTGGTACGCTTCCAGATATTTAAAAAGCTGTGGAGTGAAATGAAGTAAACTGTTGGTTTTGCTCAGTGGGTAAGAAGGTAAATAGTGGGCTAACTTGCAAGGAGGTGGCATTCAGGTTTCAAAAATGAAGAAGTTGGAATAAACTGACATATCTTTATTTCTGGACATTTGTAAGACCAGACTGACAAATGCTTGTCAAAGCCAGTGTAAATACAGCTGGTCTTGCCTTGGTGGTAGCTGATAGACTGTAAGGATTATTTTGATTTTGTTCTCTGTTACGATTTTGGCAGATCATAGCTTTCTAGTGGCTGCTGTCTCATTGCTGCTCTGTAATCTGTGAAGGATCTACATATGTCAGTGAAAGACAAACTTTACTCTTCATTTCTGATTCAGAAATATGTCGTGGTGCTCAGGTTTGTTGTTGTTGTTGTTTTTCTTGGTGTGGTTTCTTTTTCCTTTCTTCCCTTTTTAAAAATCAGTATTAGCTGAATGCAATAGGAGATAATGTCTTCCTTCACTGGCTGCATTGGCATTTTCATGCCCAGCTAATTGGTCTGTTACTCCTGTAACTAATTTTCTTTTTTCTTTTCTATATCTCTAATGGTAGCCTGATCAGACTGTTGACAGTATGATTTTTGACTTAAAGGCAGACTAGTTGTGTTGTCTTTAAACAGTAGAAATACAAAGGAAAGGTCATATATGAACATAAAGTCAATTCCAGTGTACTTTGATTTTTAAAGAAAAAAAAAATCTTTTGAAGTCACTCTCAACTTTTATTGTAGTCCAGTTTTCTTTCTTCTCCTAAATGAAAAGGCTGTTCCCTGTAATTACCTAAAAGTTGTTCTCTCAATTTAAACCATTACTACTTTAATCTAAAAATAAGCTGTTCTCTAGAGAGATATGGTAGTATAACTATAAAAAAAAATTAAATGTCCATCTATGGTAGCTTTTTATTGTAGAAACTCCCTTAGGATTAAAGTATTGCTCTTTCTGAAAGCAAATGCTCTAATAGCAGAGAAATGGGTCTGTGCAATCTCTTGTAAAGGTCTCTCCAGTCCAACAGAAATAATTTGTAAATCATTTGGGAAACCAGACAGGTTTCCTACACTACAAAGAAAAAAAACAGATCATGCTTGAAAGATATGATTGAAAGATTATGATACTGTGCCCTAGCATGGTTCTAGATCAGTTGTTGTCCACTGCCCTGTTCACATATAAACAGGTAATAGACCTTTACTTCAATTACTTATTTCAGACTTCTAATATATTATTATAGCTGAATTTACCAAAACTGAACAGATAAGCAGTGCTGAACACTTCTGTGCCTCCAGCCACTAAATTTACGCTAAAAAGCGTACAGTTTTGGAGAATTTGGCTTAGATCTTCAGATGCAGAAGAAGGCGGCAGACACAAATGTGTGTTTAACTGCTGCCCGAAGAGGTTTGTTCCGGCATTTAGAGGCACCAGATTTGTGTGTTGTGGCCTGAACTGATCGCTGTTACTGAGAGTTCCTGTACCAGATGGAATTCCTGAGTTGGGCAGCACCTGGATGGGGTAATACTGCTAGTTGCTTGTGTTCACTGCTCCTCTCAAGTTCAGTTTTTTTTTCCCCCTCTAAACTGACATGTTCTTACTATTTTCTTAAAGTGACCTCCACAGTGTTTCAGCTTATCCTAGTGTCTCGCTGGCTGTATCATTTGAAGTTGTAGCATGTGTTCTCCATGTCTTCAAGGCCCATCTTCTCAGCAGGCTCCATTTCATCCATTAAGTTTATTTAAAATAATCTTAGTGGCACATAAAAAAGTAGTAGATAGATACAGCTTGTAGTTGAAGTCAGTTTTTAGTTGATCTCTTGCACATCCATTGTAAACTGGGTAAACAAAAACTTACTACGTAACATTTTCTACTCTTAGTATCCTTTTCAAAGTTGTGTGTGCTTTTCACTGTGATGTTATTTGATGTTATTTGTCTGTTTGTCCATGTACGTGTTCATCCTTTTCATGAGCACCAGCTGAATTTTTAGTTCCTCTCCGTTAGAATTTCACATGCTAAACTTGTAATGCACAGCAAACTCTTCATGTGATTGTGGCATTGTTTTCATTTCGGAGCATCTGCTGACTTTTTAATTGTTAATTTTTAATTTTACTATTTGGGCTTATTTTTAGAATTGTTTTCTTCTCTTGCAGGTGGAGCTTTCAGAAGAAGCTTGTTTGCTAGCACTTTGAAGAAAACTGAAAACTCCCAAGAGATGCTTACTATTTAAGGAAATGTATTTATGGCACTGTGGCATTTTACAAGTTCTGTGATGGCATCCATGCAAGGTCAAACACTTAATGGTTTTTCACCAGTAAAATCAGTAAGATTTAGACACATAAATACTGTTGAGCTGTGGACCTCATACCAAATGTTGGGCTTCATCTTGGAAAGAAAAAAATTACGTGTAAGTTTTTGGATGGGAAGGATAAAAGCCTTACCAAATAATCTTAATTTTTTTGTAAGTAGTCAAGCATTTTTAATGAGCTCAATATTACAAGTAATATGATTACCCCATGGACAAACTGTGTTCACTTCTCTTGTGCATCTGGATTTTTCTTCTCTGTTCTTTCCCTCCGCAACTGACAAGTGTTTGCTGAAGATAAAAGCCTTTAAGAAGATAAAAATATCTTTTAGTCTAACTACTAGTAGCCAAGCAAAGCATAAGAGGAAATAATTGTCAGTCAAAAATCTGCATGTGTGCCTTAGTATATCAGCCCTCAGACTCTGTAAAGGGTACTTCACAGTACAGAATGGTTAAGCTGTATGCAGAAGTTAAATTAAATTTTCTTTCCCTGCTGACCTCCTCCTTACTACTTAATGTAAGCTGAAGAGCACCCTTTTCTATGCAGCTGTGTGAATTCTTGGGAAGGTTACTTTCCTCAAGGCCACTTGTTCTCCTGTTTTCTTGAACCTACTCATTGATATTTGAAGAATGCCTAATAGTTTTGCCTTTCTTTTTTTATTTTTACCCACAGGTTCCTTACTAAGATAAGGCAACATATTTCAATCATTAGATAAGGATATGGAATATTTGACATTAAAAATTTATGGAGTACATACTGCAGTACTTCAGAGTGACTTTATTGGACTGAGGGTAGTTATCAGTACCAAAATCTTAAGCCAGTGTCACTCCCTTCATAGTTTGTGTGACTTACTGCTAAAAATACCGGTGATGGTTTTGTGATGTTGATTCTTTATGTCTTCTTATCATGATCTTTGCTTTGTTCTTGTTGTGGTTTAACCTGGCAACAAGCAGCTAAACACCACGCGCTTGATTGCTCACTCCTCCCATTCTCGGTGGGGTAAGGGAGAGAATCAGGAGAGTAGAAGTGAAAGAACACAGCTGGTTGAGACAAAGACTATTTAATAACTAAAATAAACAAAACTAAAAATACTAATGAATTTAGTAAAAATCAGAACAACAATATTAAAGCAAAGTTACACTTGGCTCAAAAACAGCAGTTGCTGGCTATGCGTCAATGGAAATGCAACAAGGGAGGGGTAAGCCTCAGGAACTAGAACTGTCACGAACTAGAAGGGAAGGAAGGGGTCATCCCTTGCAGACTCCCCAGTTTATAGCGATTGTGATTTTTATTGTATGGAATAAGTTTTTATTGGTCAGCTTGGATCACATCTGGGTCACCTGTCCCAGAGAATCCTGGGATTTTGGTTCCCCTGCATTGTATTATGCAGAGAGAAGGAAGGAAGAAAAACCAAACCAAACAAAACCAAAAGAAACTATGAACATATGTTTAGGCAGAGACTGGAAAACAAACCTTGCGATAATATCAACATTTGCTGGTGAGAACCGAAACAAAAAATCTCACCAGCTACTATAAGGAAAGTAACTCTATCCCAGCTAAAGCTATAATATCAACTTGTTTTCAGTAGATGGAACACTGCAGTTCTCTCAGAGATGCAGCTCTGCTGAAACAGAAAAGGGAATTCTGCAATTCAATTGCAGCAGAACCAGGGCAGTCCTATTACTTGTTTTTGGAAGGGTAATCTTTGCAATACTTCAGCAGACTTTGCTGTGGAATAGAAACTGAAAAATAACATTTGTTCTGAGTGCCTAAGAATATAAGCTCTAATGTAATGCATTTTAGTAGAGATTGCACTATATTCTGAGAACTATAAGGTAACTTAATCTGCTTTATGAACTCAATGAAAATCAGTGATTGTTTTGAAATTGATTTGTTTTAATTCACTGATGCTATATTTGCAGAAAAAGCCCCAAACCACCATCCAAAGAATAAATGGTTTATTGTTACTTTTAAAATGGTTATTATAATAATCGTCCATCCTTGAGAACCCAAAATAACTGTTTGGCCAGGATGGGAACTTGAGTGTTTAGCATCTCTGCTCCTCTTAATTTAAAGCTGGCCTCTGAAATCTCTTCAATATTTAAGTATAACAAAAACACCAAGCTCACCTTACAGGCATACATTTAATATTTTTTTTCCAAGCTTCACTTATTTGTGTGAAGAGCTAATATTTCTAGAAAAAAATTAGTATTGGTTATAGTAGTTAGCTTTCAGTTTCCAAGAGATTGAGAGTTAGGAGTGCAAAATGTTTCTGGGAAAATGGAGCATTGGGCAAAACCAAGCAATTTCAAATAATTTTTAGAAAGGACATACACAGTTATGTGGGCCAGTAAACTGTCCCAAAAGCTTTTAAAAAAAAAAAGTGTGTATTTTTATAATATTGTGTTTTTATACATGAGTAAGTACAGCAAGTAAGTTTGCCAAAAGAATGGAAGAAAGTTTAAACAGAATTTTTTTTTTTACTTAATTTAAAAGCAGTTTCTACATTGATTCCATTGGAAATATGTAGAATAAGAGAATTGAAAATCCTTTGGATATGTAAAACATTGTTTACCTTTAAAAAATACTTACAGAAGGTATTGTAAGACCTGATATGTGTGAGAATTTAATTTGTACATTGCTACTTCAATAAGAGGATTTAGAAACTGTGCCTGATTCATTGTTTAACACTACACTCTGCTATTTTGTAGGGATATGGATATTGCCATACTAGTGTGCCTTTCTTAAATTTGCATCTGATGTATTTTTAACAAAATAGTTTATATACAACTTTTGTACTACCAAGCAGTAAATAAAAAATACTGATTCTTAAGCTTGCTTGTGACTTCCTTAAGCCTGCATCCATTGTGTGGAAATTTAACCTTTTCTAACTTTTGTGCAGTCTTAATGTATAATGCAGCCTTTTTGCATCTTAAGTTTGTTTATGGAGAAAGTGAGAAGGTTAGGTTGTTGTGTGATGTACTTCAAAGCAGTTTTATTTTCTTAAGTATAACTGCAAATATTACTGTAGTTCCATAGTTTATGTCAAAAAGAAGAAAATCTGTGTGTTAATCCAAGCTGGTATCTGATTAAAGACCTTTTACCTTTGAAGTATCAAGACTTTTAACTTTTAATTATGTTTGACATTGAGCTTTAAATAATACATAACATTATCTTTAGTCTCAATTTTTTGCATAAGGAACAAAAAGAATTACGAATGACACAAAGCTCTTTGCAGTTGCTTCCTCTCAGCCTGTGTCCCTCTGTGATACTACAGTACTTAATTTGTTATGTTACATTCTCGCAGATTACTATAATCTGTAAATAGCATTAAAAATCAGTTTTGCTGTATGAATAGTGTGGAGGAGGGTCAAAGCAAGTTGTTGTGACTGGCTGAGATGTAATTATCAGTGTACCATCTTGTTTGCTTTTTTTTTTGTTCTTTATTTCAGTGTTCCTAGCTGCATCACATAAGGTCTGTTTTGAGGTCTGTATTTGAATTTTAGAGGTTTATATACAGATGTGCTTTATATTCAGAATTTTTTAAAAAATAGATCTATATTTTAAAATCACAGGCCTTAATTTTAAAAGATCATGAAGCTTCTGGAAACTGAACACACTTTCTGATTCTTATTTTCAGGGATTTTTTTTTTGTTCCTTTTTTTTTCTATATAACAAAATAACCTGAGAGTAATATATTTTACTACTTATAAAATCATAGAATGCTTTGCGTTGGAAGGGACCTTAAAGATTATCTAGTTCAAACCCCCCTGCCATGGGCAGGGACACCTCCCACCAGACCAGGTTGCCCAAAGCCCTGTCCAGCCTGGCCTTGAACACTTCCAGGGAGGTCGCATCCACAACTTCCCTGGGCAACCTTTTCCTGAGCCTGTTTCCCCCTGCCTCCTTCTTCCTTGACTTTGTAATGCTTTCAATTTAAAACTCAGGTTATATTGAAGTTAAAACTGAATGCAAGTATAACCATATCAACAAACTTTGATGCCAGAAAAGATAAGGGCAGAAGATTGTAATTCTGTGTAATAATACACAGTTTTTATTAGATAGGATGAGCATATATTGAAATACAGTACAATTGCTGTATTAAAGTTTGAGAAATTCTATTATAACTGGACTGACACAGAGAAGTCCTCAAAAGAAATATGAATATTTTTTTCCAGACTGTTTAATGGATGATACTTCCGTTGTTTTTCCGCAGTACAGACACTTAATTTAAGTAGAGCATTATGCCAAAATTCGGGATGCTACCTAATGCTGCTGTAGCAAAACAGATGAGAGAGTGACATATCTTCAGTAAAATCTGATTGTACTTCTACATTGCACATGTGATCTTTACTTTTGAAACATGGTAAAGATTAAAGCATTTCTTTCCTCTTGAAAAGCATGCCATAGTGTACTTAGTAGCTCATTGCTGTTTTCTTGCTGAGGTTTTTTCCTACAAATGAGCTGAGCTTGTACTTATTTCATACTCATACAAATTATGTGGGTTTAAAAGTGCCTTTTTAGGAAGTTACTAATCTCTTTATGAGAGGAGGCCATATGCTCTGTTCTGGTTTGGTAATGCTTGAAGTGCCTACTGGGATGGAACATGAGACTATCTTCTAAGGACTTTCACAAGTTTCCTGGATGTTTAATGGATGTTGAGTACTCCCACCTGTGCCCTGGGTGTGGTTTGCAGCGTGACTCAATTTGTAGCTGAAACCAAGGTTTCTGTGCACTTTAGGCCTGTTCTTTCCTTTTTCCTCCTAAGTGTATGCTACTACTGCTGATGAATACACAAGAAAACAGAACGGCTGTCTGATATTAATGAAAAACATGTAAGACTTGCCCAGATAAAGATATATTTAGATTTAATTTCTTTCTCAGTGTTTTGGGAAGTCATCTATTTGGGAATTTTGTTTGAGGAAAGATTGCCATTAGGCTCAAAGTACTGACAGATATTGAATACAATTTCCATTTCTCTCTTGTTTTTTGTATCCTTACTGATTTTCAATTATTTTCTTTTTCTCTGCAGTTTTAGGGGGTATGCAGTAAGGTGCTGCCTGGTTTGTTTGCTCTTACC